ATGAATGCGATATGGATCTATGCGAGGGGAATTAGGTGCCGGGTCGTGTCACCATATTGTCAGATCTGTTTGGCCGGCCTCGATGCCAATTGGCTGGGAAGCCGGCTTCCCGGCCAATCAGCATCGAGGCCGGCCAAACAGAGTGGAGTCGGCTTCCCGGGCAATCAAGAAGCCTTCCTGGCTTCCTGATTGCCCGGGAAGACTGCTTGCTACCGGAAGTGCCGGTATCGGTACTCGGTATCGACGAGTACCGAAATATAAGAATCGGTACTCGATACCGAAAAACCGTTATCTGTGCATCCCTACTGCATACCATCCGACAAGGCTTCACGTGCCTGGCACATGTCAGGGGTTGTCTACCCCTGCTCTAGAGTATTCTCCTTCCCTCCTGCCCCGAGCAGCTACATAAAAGTTTTAGTTGGTGGAGGGGCAGAGGCTGAATCAACAGCAACCATAATTAGACACTCCTAGAAGAGGAACAGGCTATGACATGCAAGGAAGGAGGGGGCTGGGCTAGAGAACTGACGCTGCTGGAGTAGTCAAGTTTTCTTGAAATCCAAAAAGGTACAATGTAAAGTGAATAAAAAATAAGTTGGTGACAGTTTCTTTAATAGGCCTCTCGTGCTGTATTTCCTAAAAGGCAGATTATGACTTTTTTTTATTCATGAAAATTTAAAAAGCAAATTTATTCATACCAGAGATGAAGTGAAACATTATTTAAAAAAATGTTTTATTAAAAGAAAGTTATACGTTACAAAAAATAAAAACTCTTTAAAACAGTTTTACCCATTTGGGTTCTGTAGATGTAAATAAATTCAATGTTAAAACATTGCTTAATACCTCAAAATAAAATATTCATTTTTTTAAAGTTCAATATAACCCCTCTACCCTCAAAGAAAACAAAAACATACAAATTTCTACAACAGAAAAAAGGAATAAAAAAATAGCTCTAAATACAAAAGAAAAATAAAAGGAATGAATACAGTCATCACAATTATAATTCACCAATGGCAGGGTAATTCTTTTGGGCCACCTGAGGAACCTGCAAACTCCACCAGCAGTAATTACTGCTAAGTGAGGTATCAAACAAAAAAATAAATAGCAAACACCCTTTTCATGCATTACTAGTGCAGCCAAAACATTAACATTTTTAATGACATCCCAATTTATAGAATATAACGTGATCTTGTAAAACTTGGGCTGTGCTAGTTTGATGATCACTAAAAGGACCAGCAGACATAATAAAAAGCACTTGATTTTTTTTTATAGATAAAATATGCAAACCAAAACTGTCGGCATTTGACATCAAATGGTTTAGCTAGGTATAATAATTATTGTAAGCTTCCTGGTCCTTTGAAGAAAAGCTATTGCTTTTCAGGGCAAAGAACCAGGTTCCCATTATTTCACAACCGCTATTAAAGTGACACTAAACTTAGGAGTTGAATCTCAAAAATGCATTCAAGTGCCTTTACTATTAATAAAAATGTCTCCTAATTGTGCATCACTCGGCTGTAGCTCCTCAAATCAGCTCTGAATTGGTGCCGACACGGTCCTTTCTTCTGGAGGGTGGCTACTTTTGTTCCTCATGGTCCGTGTGTGTTGTAAAGTAGCCACCACTCCAAGCATGGACTACAATCTCATGTATAGTTTGCTAATTTTTATTGAAATTATTGGAGCGGTGGCTACTTTACAACACAGTGTAACCACGCAAAACAAAAGTAGCCACTCTCCAGAAGGAAGGACAGTGTCAGCACCAATTCAGAGATGATTTGAGGATCTACAGCCCAGTGATGCACAAATAAGATAAATTTTTGTTAATAGTTAAAAAGGTACTTGAATGTATTTTTAAGATTTAATTCCAGAGTTTAGTGTCACTTTAATACTTCACTTCTGTGTTTCCCTTCCATAGCACCAATACCGGAAATACCCGGTACTTTTAAATATGGGGTAATTACCTTCTCTCGTTGCTCCTACAGCACCTAATCATCAGATACAAGCACTGTCATGTGGAAAAAAAAGGTCCTTCGACCTGTGTAATCTTGCACATGCCTTTCTACTTGGTACTGCAGTGTGCAATTCAGGCAGCAGGGGAAGTTATGCGTTAGTAGCAGAGCAGGTGGGTTATAAGCAGAACTGTTCACTTTATTCTGAATGTCACTTTGCTCATTCACTAGAAGCCTTAGAATTGTATACCCTATTATCATGCAAATTGGCTAAAAAGTTTGACAGGCAATAAAATTAAAGATGAAAGAAAAAAAATAAAATATTCAGCCACTTGCATATACATTGTTACAGAAAAAGCCAAAGTGAACAATGCATATTATTTCAGGTGACATAATAATAGCTGCCAATGGCAATTTGATTAATGGTGCAAGATGCACTGCTGCCTCGGGTTCTTGCTTTACTACTTTAAGGTAATCTTTAAAAATTCAGCAGTAAGGTTTCACCTAAGTGTAATGGTAGAAGACACCGATTATGAAATGTCTTGGTGCTACTTAATAAACCAGCCAATAGAATTCGGCAATTTTAATTTTCCATATGATGTATGCTTTTTTACCAGTTTCTTTTTTGCCACTAGTATTTGAACCATTTCTTTTTTAAGGAAAAAATATTTGATCATCTTCTGCCACAACACCCTTAAAAGCTAGTAGCAGACTAGCGATCGATGAATTGGTGTTTGACTGTTAGAATGGCAATTCTCTTACAAGGAAAAGGGGGATAAGAAATGTAAGACACATACCTCAACCTCCCATAAATAATTCAGTGGCATCCCTAGCCACTTTTTTAAAGTTGAACACACTTTGGTAGTAGAATGGCAGTTTTAAAAATGTGCACTGTACTAAAAAATGAAAAGAAAATAATATTAACATTCCATATACTTTGTTGATATTTGCACAGTTAGTACAGGCATTTTCTATTCACGGCATCTAACCTTCCATACTAATCCTATCATTCACAGTCTATCCCAATGTTATTCTAAGGTGGCAGCTTTTGTAGATGGACAATCCTGTAACTACACAGATTTAAAAGAGTGTAAAAATGTTCAGAGCATTTATATTTTTTAGCTGCATAAATACCGACTGGTAGGTCTATTCACAATCACTATAATCTGTAATGCAAGAGTGAGAATCTAATAGCTTTTAGGCAAGTTATACCTAAATTCCCACATGAAAACAGCCAATGTTCACACACTTTATGTACCACAGAATGAAAAATATCTGTGCTGTGCAGCTTCCAGCTTGCCTACAAAAGCAAGAATCCTCCAGAACAAAACAGTGACTTTACATTATAAAAACAAGTACACTAATGTGTAATAATTAAAGCACAAGTTACAAAAAAGGTTATTAAATGGCATCAGTACTGTATATTTTTGTCTATAGGATCTAGTGCCCTAAAAATAAAAAAATAAACTGTCATGTAATTAGAGAATGAACATTTGGCTCCAAAAACCTGAGAATTGATGTATAACCGTTATAGCAACACATTGTAGGGGAACCCAAAATCATGTCATGAACATGTAAATATCATATAAAAAGCCTATAGGCACCTTTCACACTGGCTGATCAAAAAAGAGGATCCGTGCACAGATCCTCGCCTGACCACAACCGTACGGAGAGGATGTCACCGCTGTGGCATCCATGTCCGTAGTCGGAAACTGCCGGACCTAATGTATGTCTATGGGAAATCTGATGTTAACGAACATTTAGAATACCCCCGATCCAGTCTGTTGAAATGGAACAGTGTTCCGTCTTTTTCAGACCCAACTGGAGCCGGGGGCAACCGGGTGTAAACGAACACTCGTCTGCTTAAACACAACTGCCCAGACTTGCATTGGGCATCCAATCAGTTCAGTCTAAAAAACTGGACGATTGGACCGCCCATGCGAAAGGGGTCTAAATCTCCTTTAAAGGCAAATTTTGGTACTATGTTCATTTTGAGCATTACAGCTTGTAGCCAATCTTCCCAGGTGTTGCCCAAGTATTAAACATTCCGTGTGGGAAAAATAATGTGTGAATATAAAGGATGCACAATCTCATCAGGATAGAAATTAAGTTTCCATTGCTGACCCCCATCTTTTCAGGTGCACACTGAAAAGTCTGAAGACAACAATACAAGTTCTCAAATTTATTTTAATGCCCCTACAAATATAAAGTGTACCAATAGGCAAAACATTTTTTTTCAGTTTTGGATATAACCTCTGCCAGGTTGATTTGCTGACCGTGTACCACTGAGGAATTTTCCCTTCACTTCCTGTCCCAAGACTCAACAGGAATTTTGTCAAAATGACTCAAAGTGAGGGGAATTCCCCTCAGACAACTGTCCTCAGTTCAAGTATCCCGATTTGAAGACTTCCCCCTCACCTCTTATTGTGGGCTCAACTGTAAAAATTTTGGATTTCACCTAACCTTCTGTTTATGTAAATATGGTCACCAGGGAGAGTGGTGAATCTCCCAAATGGGGACTCTGACAGCAATAAAAGCTTGACAACCTTTACCCACCATCTAAAACGGGGGGAAAAAAGGGTTTTGGCTATACATACACTTTAACCAGATAGTGCTCATCTACAAGATGATATTTTTAATACTGATTAAAAAAGATGCAACAACTTGCCTTAATTGCTGTGTCTCCACTGCTGATCAGATGTTTTAAGAAATTGATTGAATTAGCTTGAGCTTGCATCTAATGAACATTTAGGGAACTGCAATTAAAATAGTTCCATATATAAATAGCAAAAAGTTCTTTCATTTATCTATATTTTTTTCATATCATAATTTGCTAGATATAGAAGTGCAGCTCTATTGCATCTGTTTATTCTGTACATACTGATCATTAGAATACAAATACAAGTCTTCACTGATAAGAATGATGTTTGAGTAGTGAGTGAATGTTCTGAAAAATTCAGCTTTATTTTTCTGGGGGGGAAAAATAGTTACCACCATGGCACATACGCTTAATTATTTTGAAGGTAATGTTTAGCATCCCTCCACTGTGTCAATCATAAAATGATAAAAAATATTGAACCCATGAAGTGTTGCAGTGTTTAATGCATGCCCACCGGGCTGTTGTCACTGGATAAGCATGCAATTAGGAAAATATGCGAATTGCTTGCGTGGCAGGGGCATGGCAGGCAGGACACTCTGGTAACTGTCGCTCACAGATCCGGATGGCACATTCCATGCAAAAGAGATTGTGCCCACAGGGAACCAAGGCTGCTATTACTTCACTCTCATAGCAAACAACGCAGTCTCGTCCACTCTTGCGCTGGCCATCTGAACTGTTTGATTCTGTGGGCGAGCCAGATGCCACTGAAGAACTACCAGGTAGAGAAGAGGATGATGAATACCCAGCGCTGTTTGAAAACGATGACAGGGATTCTTTGCTTGGCAGCCATGAAATACTGCTGACTGGATCACTATGAATTCGTCGGGCAAGAGGATGTTCCAGTCCGATGCCATGATCAGGTAAAGAAGGGGAGAGCAGCGGTGTAGAACTTCCACTAAACACACTATTTCTCCTTTGAGTGTGGCAACCACTAAAAGTTTGAACATGGCCACTGGATGGTTCAAAGGGTGACCAAACAGCTGTAGGTGTATTTGAATCTAGTGCAAGATATTCCAAACCAAACTCGCAGTCCTCTATGCCCACAGAATGTTGACTACCAAGGGTTTTTCCACCTAGTGCAAAGCTTCTACTTACAACAGATCTGCATGGGCTTGCTGGACTTTGTTCTCTGCAAGATGACCCATAGTAGGGACTCTCAACAGATGAGCTAAGACTTTCAGTCCGTGATCCACTAGAGCCATGGCGTGGAACTTGCTGCTTAGACCATATATTGCCTGGGCCTCCAATCAGCATATCCATGCAAACATCTGTTCCATTAGAGTGAAAATCGCTATCTGGAAGGTTGTCTACTAGGGAGCCTGTCCGCATAGTGATGTGGGCTTCAATTTCTTCCCGAGCACGGTCTACATTCTCTGGCATACCTGTAACCTCAAAAATGGGTTCCTTGTCTCGACTTGGTGTAACAATGTAAGTATGAGTATTCTGTTGAATTCTCTTGATCGTAGCACCTTTGGGTCCTACAACAAGGCCAACAACACGATATGGTACACGGACCTGAATAGTAGTTTGTCCTGGTAAATTTGGAGGCCCTTGCACAGCTCCAGCAATTCCATTCATCTTATTTCTGGTGGCTCTTATAATTGAAAAATGTTCAGCTGCTGCCAGGATTTCCCTTTTTGCCATTTCAACATCTTCTTTACGGCCAGTCACAATAAAGACTGGTTCCTCTCCTCGTACAGGGGTCTTGATATAAGTATTTGTTTTGGCTCTCAGCGCTTTAATTTTGCATCCTGTAAAAATTAAGAGTGTCAGAAGGATAATCAGAGAAACAAAAATTAAGACAATAGAATGTTATCACAGCTTTATGAAGATCATATTTCAGAAGAGAAATATCAAAAGGAGCTGTTTAACAGAGATGTATTGGTCTATGAGTTTGACTGCAAACATAAAACACTAGCCAATTAGTTGTGCTAAACATTTTCCACACGGAGCTGAACTAAAAATTATCCATTGTTGAACTGATTGTATGCAGGGTTATATTTGCTAGCCGTACGCATCAGAGATATCAAGGGGAGCTTGTTGGTCGCTTTTACTTTACCCCCTCTGTGCCCCCTGATGCGCAACCAATTGCCATTCTGTTACCTTTAGCTCCTTACCCCTCATTTACATTCAAGCTGCCATCCAGACTATCCTCCCTCTTTATTCCTTCTTGGTCCATAACTGGCTCCTTCACTTCCTCTAATACCCTTCCCTGCACAGTCTGTTTACCGTTTACTACAGTCTGTCAAAATGAATATGGCATGCAACATCTGGTGCTACAGTTGCATTCATTATGTCAAGTGATTGCCAACGAAGCGCATGCAGGCTGCAAGTCATATACACTGAATGAAACCCAAAATGCCCGAAATCGGGCCTGCAACGCAGCTTTACTGTAGCAGATAGGGATATATTTTTTATAATACAGAAAAAAAATAGTTTTTTTTTTCCTGTATTTTTTTTTCTGTATTAGTTTGTTTTTTTATCAATGAATACAAGGCTTTCTCGGATTGGACAAAAAGCGGGATAGGATGAAGAGCAGTAGGCGGAAAATAAATGTTACTTGGGTTTTTCTGGCGCTCCTACTGAAGTCTTTGGGGACAAAAATATGCAACAAATACAGGCAACACAACACTAAGCTGTGAATGGGGGCCTGATTTGAGAAAATGTTGCCAAATCCCATTTTCAGTACTAACTGATTGACTTAGACTCTTAAGCAAAGCAACTGCCTGCTAGCCATCATCTTAAAAAATTACCCTTAGGCGCTAACTACTTCTTACCATTCGTCGCAGCACAATGAAGATGCTGTCACAGGCCCAAAAAAAAAAAAAAAAGTATTACTCGTAGAACAAAAAACAAGGATATGGATTTGAAGAGACCACATATTAATTTGTGGTCTATAATTTTACAGAGCTAATATAAATATTTGGAGGCAAAGTAGTTAAAGTGTTTTAAAAAACTAAAATGTTCGCACGCCCAGCGGAAAAGAGTCAAGCGGTCATTGTTTGAACTTCAACTAGTAGACCCCTGGCGCATTAACGATCCCAATGGCAGGGACTACACACACGTCAGCCCCGCACCAATCCTATTCACGCATAGACTTCTTTTTGCTCCAACACGCACCTCCATAGGTACTTTGGCCCTATCCGATCACTCCCCAGTGCACATGAGTATACTCGTGGGGGAGGGTATTCGCTCGCCTTTCACCTGGCGGCTGAACGAGTCCCTCCTGCAAGACGACGCTGTACTGGCCGACCTTAAATCGGAGCTGACACTCTACTTCAGGGACAACGCCTCCCCAGAGCAGGATCCGCTTACCCTATGGGAAGCACATAAATGTGTCATGCGTGGGATGCTGATCAAAATAGGTGCCCGGAGGAAGAGGCAGCGACTGCAAAGAATCGAGGCCTTATATGGCCAACTGTGAGCCTTAGAGTTGCATCACAGGGCTGCTTTAGACGGGGACACCCAGACCCAGACTCGATCAGAACTTAGAGACCTGCTGCTGGAGGGGGTACGGGCCCAGTTAGGGAGAGCACGGCGCACGTTCTACGAATTTGGGAACAAACCTGGAAAGCTCCTAGCACGTGCCCTGAAAGATGTTAGACCCCGTACATACATACCATCCGTTCGACAGAGGGGGCACTAGTCTCTAGATCTAAGGACATAGCGAAGCAATTCCATTCGTTCTACTCTGCCCTCTACAATCTACATCATGACGCAGGACAGTCGGGGACTCAGGAACGGACTCGGGCGATCCAGGCGTACCTGACCAGCTCGGGCATGCCCCGCTTGCCCGAGTCGGCTGCACTAAGTATGGAAGTGCCTATCTCGGTGGGGGAATTTGAAGTGGCCCTGAAAAATATGAAACCAGGGAAGGCACCGGGACCAGACGGACTGACCCTAGTATATTACAAATCCTTTCAGGAGCTTCTAGGGACCCACTTCTCAGAGGCCTATAATTCGCTCAAGGGAAGAACACTACCTCGGGACGCCCTTAGGGCACAAATTACAGTAATCCCTAAAGCAGGGAAAGACCCTGCGCAATGTGCTAGCTACAGGCCCATTTCACTGCTGAATACCGACCTGAAGCTGTTCACCCGCATACTAGCTTCTCGACCTTCTCCCTTTCTTAGATGATCTTATTGGAAGGGATCAAGTTGGTTTTGTGCCGGGCCGAGAGGCAAGAGACAACGCCATCAGAACTCTGAACGTGATCCATCTAGCGCGTACGCGCTCTCAGCCGCTTCTCCTGCTGTCTTTGGACACGGAGAAAGCGTTTGACAGGGTGAACTGGTCATTTATGGGGGAAATGCTAGACTACATTGGGCTGGGGTCGAGTATGCAGCAGTGGATTCAGTCATTGTACTCGAACCCTACGGCGGTGATTAGAGTAAACGAGGCCCTGTCGGAACCCCTCACCATTTCTAATGGGACTCGTCAGGCATGTCCGCTCTCGCCCATTATCTTCATACTTAGCCTTGAACCACTACTTAGGACTATACAGGGAGCCCCGGACATAAGTGGACTGGACTGCGGTGGAAGACAGCATAAGGTTGCGGCTTACGCCGATGACCTGCTGCTATATGTTACGCACCCAGAAATCTCCCTACCCAATGCCATGCACGCTATACGCGCGTATGGACAACTGACAGACTTTAAGCTGAATTGGAGTAAATCGGAGGCGTTGAATGTATCACTCCCAGGAGGGTCGACTGGCGCAGCTAAGGGACTCTTTTCGATTTCGGTGGGTGGACTCGTCAATCACTTACCTGGGGGTGGCTATACCTGCAGATATCCGTAAAAAACGTTCTCCCTGAACTTCATCCCTCTCCAGCAACGTATCACGTTAGATTTGGCCTCCGGGGACCGCCCTTCCTTTACATGGCTAGGTCGCAATAATATCTTAAAAATGGTGGTTATGCCGAGATTACTCTCTCTCCTCCAAACGCTTCCAGTGTCAATCCCGGTGACATTCCTCCGCCGGCTCACATCTCAATTCCTAACCTTTTTGTGGATGCACAAGAGGGCTCGGTTGAGGCATCAGATATTGTCCAGATCCAAGAGAGGTGGTGACCTGAGCTTTCCAGATCCAGTGATGTACTATAAAGCGACACACCTGTCGGTGGTGGTAGACTGGTGTTGTAACGCCAAACACAAGCTGTGGGTGGAACTGGAACAACTGGAGTGCACCCCGCCTTTGCAAAGCGCACCTTGGATCTTTCCTAGGATGCCGCTCGCGTATTGGTCGAACCCGTTGGTTCGGGCCACAATGAAGGCAACTAGCGGGACACTGTCCAACCCGGGGTTCTCCCCACAGCCCTTGCCTCTCCTACCACTGACAGGGAATCCTCACTTCCCCCCGGGCCTGCATACGCCACTGGCTAGGTCACTGACCTCGTTGGCGTTTACTAGACTGTATAAGTTCCAGGGGGCAGGCCAGTGGTTAACCATTGCTCAGATTGGGGAGCTGACAGACCCACCCCTGGGTTTCTGGAGCTCCCTACAGATACGACCCTTTCTGGACACGTCTCCAGCGGGAGCCCCCCCTCTGAGACCGAGTACAGAATTTGAGACCATATGTGACAAGGCGGAGCCAGTGAGACACATGCTATCACACCTGGTCGAATGTCTTCGTAGTCCACCTGACCTTCCCCCTCCGTACTTTATCAGGCAATGGGAGGCGGATCTAGGAGTGGAGTTTAGACCCGAACAGGTTGATCGCATGCTGCACTTTGCGCTCAAATCATCAGTCTCGACGAAGAGGCGGGGTACAAGCTGTTGTCCCGATGGTATAGGGTCCCGAAGGCTGTGCACGCCATGTACCCGGCGGTCCCTGAGACATGTTGGCGCTGCGAGGGAGAGGTAGGATCCCTACTGCACATTTTTGGGAGTGCCCGGGGGTTTCTACATTCTGGTCTGATTGCCGCTCTTGTCCAGCAGATCACGGCTACGTCCCTCCCGTTTGCTCCTGCGGCATACCTCCTCTACCTGACACCGCTACCGAGGAAAACCTATAAAAGATCCTTACTGAACCACCTACTGAATGCGGCTCGGGCATGCATCCCGGCACTGTGAAGGCAGGCCCGCCCGCCCTCAGTGGAGATGTGGGTGAAAAGAGTGGAGGAGATCCGGCTGATGGAGGATCTGACATCCTCAATCTGTAAGACCCAAAATAAATTTGTAGCTACCTGGGGAGCTTGGTACTTGTTCAGAGATTCCTCAGCGTTCCCCCAGGGCAGTCAGGAGTGAGCTATTGGGGAGGATGCCAGCAAGATGGTGGCTCCAGTGGACCGGGTCGGTGTCTC